CACACACACACCCTGCGACGAAGTGCTCGCAACGGCACTGAGTATATATCTTTTGAAAACAGGCGAGGGGTTATTGCATGCATGTATTTCTAGTATATGGTTAGTATTCGGTGTAGTTTGCGTCGGTGGGCAAAAATGAAATAAACCATCAACCTATTTAATGAAATAAACCATCAATGTTGTGTAGCAACTAAACATTGTAATAATTATATAAATAATGGCCTTATAAACAAAGTTGAGGAAGAAATTTTAGCATATTTTAGCATGTGTGATGTGAGTCGGACAAAAAAAGTACAGCTTAATTACTGAGTTGTATAGCTGTCATACATATTTAATACAGATCAACAGAATATATTGAGGTCCTATAATCGAAATCATTATTTACATGCCTGATACCTACACTGTCAATTCCCACAAACTATATAAGTATATTGCAGGATTGGCAGCATCTGGTATAGAGATATATTGCCATTGCCATTGATTTTCAACCACTCCAAACATTGCCATAAAACTGTCATGCAGACCATGCACTATACGGCTTGGTTTAAATTTAGCACTTTGCCAGAAACAAGTGAGAGCATTCGCTGCCTCACTGATTGTGAAATTGGGCAATTGGGTCACACGTCTGAAGACCTAAACACTCTCAAATGCCTTTCAAAACCACAAGTATACAGTAATATCATTTTTAAATATTATTTTATATTCAATATATGATATAGGATGTAGACATAGTAGGTAAGGACTATCCAATTTGTCCAAAGTATAAATCTATTATGGCAAATTTATATATTAGAATCATGTACTGTGTGTTATGCATATAGATATCATAGATATCTTATATACACTAGATAGTGCATCTAATTATTCTGCAATTCAAAAATTGAAGCCGTGATTGCAGTCTCAGGTCGTTCCCATGAAATGAGAAGATTCGTATATTTTCTATTTCTTAAACAGGGAACTTAAACATTAAGTTAACCCTATTCCAAATACGTTTTTAAACTATTCAAATGATGAAAGTTATTGTTGTTCTTTAGCGTTTATTAGCAAGTGAGAACGACCAACATGGCCGCCATCTATTCAAATGGGGGTAACCACAGGCGGCCCAGACGTGTATTAGTGTATAGTAAATATATCATTATAGAATATACTACACAGTAAAATTTGTAATGAATTTTATATTTTAAAATCATATTTACTTGCCTACTTTGATTGTATGTGATCGATTTCTGAGCGACTTTACATTCGATGCCTGCGACTGTCTTCATAGGTGATAGTATTGAAAGCAAAGGCTAACGATTCCAGTTCTCAAACAGCCGACACGAACAATTCAAATCGAAAAATATCCCCTTCAAATTGCTTTCTTCGCGGTAAAACTTCGCCAGCGTATAGAATAAACACCCATCCTCGAACATACAAAGCAATATTAACACGTCCTATAACTTTTGCAATGGATTTTTAGCGAAATGTTTCGAGACTAAAATTCTATGGAACTTAGAAAGCCCGATAATTACTACGGCGCCTGCTTGGCCACCTAGCCTCCTTTACCGTTTGGATTTTCAGGGGGGGGGATCGAATAAAAACACCTATTTCCGGCAACAAGCCAGCCAATCAACGCCGCGATACCGACTGTTTACAATATTTGAAATCTGATATTGTAATTTATCAACAACAAAACTCTTTGGATCGATCGATCGTATAGTATAAGATAGAAAGAGAGCTTTTGCAAATTACAATATCAGATTTCAAATATAGTAAACCGTCGCTATCGCGGCATTCGGGCATTGATTTGCTGCCTGTTGTTGCTATATACGATCGAAAGAGTTTTGTTGTTGATAAATTACAATATCAGATTTCAAATATTGTAAACAGTCGGTATCGCGGCGTTGATTGGCTGGCTGTTGCCGGTGTTTATTATTCGATCCCCCCTGAAAATCCAAACGGTAAAGGAGGCTAGGTGGCCAAGCAGGCGCCGTAGTAATTATCGGGCTTTCTAAGTTCCATAGAATTTTAGTCTCGAAACATTTCGCTAAAAATCCATTGCAAAAATTATAGGACGTGTTAATATTGCTTTGTATGTTCGAAGATGGGTGTTTATTCTATACGCTGGCGAAGTTTTACCGCGAAGAAAGCAATTTGAAGGGGATATTTTTCGATTTGAATTGTTCGTGTCGGCTGTTTGAGAACTGGAATCGTTAGCCTTTGCTTTCAATACTGTCACCTATGAAGACAGTCGCACTCGCAGGCATCGAATGTAAAGTCGCTCAGAAATAAAAGACGATCACATACAATCAAAGTAGGCAAGTAAATATGATTTTAAAATATAAAATTAATTACAAATTTTACTGTGTAGTATATTCTATAATGATATATTTACTATACACTAATACACGTCTGGGCCGCCTGTGCTTCGACCAGATCTTTCCATTGATACAGAGACAAAAATTCGGGTCTGCCGGTCAGGCCATTAAATGGAAAGCACTATAGTTCAATTCCCAGACCTGGGATCTACATTCCCAGACTGGAAAGTTTCGTAAAAAATGTTCATTTAAGGAATAGTATTAAATAGGAATGAGCCGATTAATCGGCCAATTTTTAATAATCGGCCGATTATTTCTGTATAATCGGCCATTTGCCGATTATTGACCAGTTTCTTTTTTTTCTATTACTATCTTTAATTAATCTTTAATATTCGCTAGTTCAGAGGAAAGGCATAAATGAAAATTTGTGTATTCACTGTGTTTTATTCACATGTTTAACAATCTTAGCTTTAAGATAGCGGTGCTGCTACACAAATACGTACAAATAAGATCTTGCATTTATCTCACCTCTTATCTCTTCATGGGAAATGCAATTATTAAGTGAGAAAGTTAACACTTATACATGTGACCCCCAATGACCGGAAAACATTGTGTGCGCACATAAGACCATTACATGAGACAAAAGGGAATGTCATGAAAAAGAAGTGGAAAACTTTTCAATTTGTATCCAACTTTAGAAGGGAGGAAGAGACATGAATGAATGCCTGAGATACTGTAGCTGAGTGCTTTGCTACATTAGCTTCTCAAGTTTCATTTTAATGCTTAAAAGCATCTGAGTCATTAGGACCATTAACGCCTACTGGTAAATGTGTAAATGGAAATGATCAGCTTTGGCCGATTAATCAGCCGATTATTTGGTATTATCGGCCACCGATTAATTTGAATCGGCTAATCGGCAATTTCAGCAATGGCTCATCCCTAGTATTAATTAAAGCAAGTACTTATACCTCTACTACCTTTCATTTTCCAATCGAGCTCAAAAAGAAATCAAATTATATGGAATTGAAAATAAAAACAGGAATCTGGCTCTTGTGTTGACTAATATTCAACCTTGTTCCCAGGCTCTTTCCTCAGGAGCGTGGAGGAAAGAGCCTGGGAACGAGGTTGACTAATATGGAATCAAAACAAAATGAAATTTAGACTTATTCTTAGATTTAATAAAAATCACGACAGTGAAATTGAAAAAGAAGAATGTCGATTTCATTTTCAAATATAAAGCTCCTGCTTGTATATCTCCTAAAACTTTATCACATTCGTACGATTGATAATGCACGACAAGTTTTCTTTCCAGTCATTTATTCAACGCAATTTAAACCTCGTGACGTAATTTATACAGGGTGTAGGCATGTAGCACTGATATTGATCATAAGAAAATGACCATCCCCCCAAAGATGGAACCCTTCCAAATTCAATATTGCAATGATCGACTAATTATAAATTATAATACAGTAGTTTGATGACCTTGACACCTCTGAGATTTCAATTTGTAAAATACGCTATAAAAAGCTGCTGTGATACACTGATTTTGGTCACCAAATGTTGCAGCATCGGCGTTTGAAGATGAACCAAGGTTACTAATCGTAGTGCAAGCAACAAATTCATAAAAATAGAAACGTGTTTTGTTAAAGCAGGGTGGGACACGCTTTGATGGACACACTCTGATGTTAAACCAAATGCTTGCACTACGATACATCAGTAACCTCGGTTCGTCTTCAAACGCCGATGCTGAAAGATTTTGTGACCAAAATCAGTGTATCACAGCAGCTTTTATTGCGTATTTTCCAAATTGAAATCTCAGAGATGTCAAGACCATCAAACTACTGTATTATAATTTATTAGTTGATCATTGCAATATGGAATTTGGAAGGTTCCGTTTGTATCCCAAAATCAATGTGTCACGTATTTTACAAATTGAAGTCTCAATGATGTCAAGGTCATCAAACTACTGTATAATAATACACAGGGAGCAGAGGAGTCGAGTTTATCTAGTAAAACAAGACAAACACCGTCTTACCTTGTTAATTAATATTCTTGTATATTTCGTTGAAGAATCCCAATGTGTGCATTAAAAATGCATATTTATTCATCAAAATTATCGAATACAAACCAAACTATTTACCAAAATAAATCAAAACAAGACGCCTGCTGAGGCGTTCACACTGGCCTCGCGGTTGGTAAAATACCATCGCAATCATTCTAAAAAATAATTTGAAATATGTAGATGTTCTTCACTTCTTGACGGCCGTCACTTCATGATCACAAACATTCAGAGGACGGCACAATAAAAATCCATACAAAACCAACAGAGTTCAGCGATAAATCGAAAAACGCAGAAAAATTCGAGCGCATGCGCAATGAAATACGTCCCACAATTACAGCGTCTAAAATTTCTAAAAGATATTTCTGAGTAGAAAAATGCGTTAGAAACAAATTTTAAACCCACCGTGAGTTTATTTTTTAAATTTCATCTTCATTTCGCCACCATTATCTGCCTTTGTATAACACTTTCAACCAGGCTTTCAACACTTAACGTAACAACAGTGTTATCCAGTCATGATTCAGTGATCAAAACATAGGCAGCCCAAAACGGCGTGTAGAATGCACCAATAATGCTTCCAAATGTCAATTTGCATTAAGCTTGCCCCATTCCTTTGTCATTTGTCGCGCGCCGCAAGCACTCAATTTGAAAAGCAATGTTGATATATCAACATTGCTTTTCAAATTGAGTGCTTGCGGCGCGCGACAAATGACAAAGGAATGGGGCGAGCTTAATGCAAATTGACATTTGGAAGCATTATTGGTGCATTCTACACGCCGTTTTGGGCTGCCTATGATCAAAATGTTCCATTGTCTTTTCATTATTCTGAAAATCCCACTGTTCTCCATGCCATCCAGTCATGATCCAGTGATCAAAATGTTCCATTGTCTTTTCATTGTTTTGAAAATCCCACTGTTCTCCATGCCATCCAGTCATGATTCAGTGATCAGAATGTTCCATTGTATTTTCATTGTTTTGAAAATCCCACTGTTCTCCATGCCATCCAGTCATGATTCAGTGATCAGAATGTTCCATTGTCTTTTCATTGTTTTGAAAATCCCGCTGTTCTCCATGCCATCCAGTCATGATCCAGTGATCAAAATTTTCCATTGTCTTTTCATTATTTAGAGAATCTCGCTGTTCTCCATGCCATCCAGTTACTCATTGTTTTGAAATACTTTAGCATTTATGCAATGAATAAAATTTCGGGGTGATGATACTTTAAAGGCGCTGTTCTTTCCGAATTGTACGGTAGAATCTTATTGTTAGCCTATTTTACAGAAAACAGTATTACGTCATTGTTTTGCACTGGGAAACAGTTGGTGGAATTATATGAAGATTGTAGCCAAAGTATTCTTTGGAGGTTTTGGGGATATTAAAGACTTTAAACTATATTACTGCAAACATTTATTAAAGCTGATATTAAAGCCGTATTTTTGATCGATGGAGTATCTCCAATTTGAAACTGACATCTTACAAAATATCCTACTACAATTGACGTAACTTTTCGCTGACAACTGATATCTAAAAGACCCAGTAGCGTCCATCTTATCAAAATTACAACTAGTTAATGCATAATCATGCTCCAGTTCTATAAATATTTGAGATCAGTTTTAGTAACCGTGGCAACCAATCGCATGTCACTTTCCAAAGAAGACCCGATGCCTTAGCATGTGCATCTGCACAGGCATTTGCTTCATGCCGTTCACGTGATCATCACGACTTGCCATGTTGGCAACGCTTGCGTTAACACGTGTTAACATCTGCATGACATCCTCGTCTTTCATTCTTTCCTCAAAAACTTGAGTAAGTGAACTGATCAACCATGTCCCCATCTCGGGGGAGTTTTGTACCCCTAGGGTAAATCTCCGGTAGGATATATGATACTTGGTCGTGGAATAACACACCAAGAAATCCGCTTCGGTTGGGAGTTTGGGTACCAGTTTCTCATCCCCATTTGCATCGGAGTCGATAATACTCGGCTGAACCCCGGCGTCCGATTTGGTTCCACGGCAGGCAGAAATAAAGAATAGTTTCGGCTTTCCTCGCAGAGCTTTGCACTGTTTACCGTTCACTCGCGAAGTGAGTTCCTCGACTTCGACGATTTTTTTGTCCACGGTTTGAAAGCCTCTCGCCTTCCCATGACTGGAGATGAATACGACCAAACCATCGTGGTTGGCTAAAGTGAAACAGTTTTGAAACAGAAAATAAAAAAATTATGAAGGAAAGGGAGAGTGTCTTATTTCAATGGGATTGTTGAATAGCACAACAATACTGACATCCAGTCATGATCCAGTGATCTGAATATTCCATTGTCTTTTCATTGTTTTGAAAATCTCGCTGTTCTCCATGCCATTCAGTCATGATCCAGTGATCTGAATGTTCCATTGTCTTTTCATTGTTTTGAAAATCCAACTGTTCTCCATGCCATCCAGTCATGATCCAGTGATCAGAATGTTCCATTGTCTTTTCATTGTTTTGAAAATCCCACTGTTCTTCATGCCATCCAGTCATGATCCAGTGATCAGAATGTTCCATTGTCTTTTCATTGTTTTGAAAATCCAACTGTTCTCCATGCCATCCAGTCATGATTCAGTGATCTGAATGTTCCATTGTCTTTTCATTGTTTTGAAAATCTCGCTGTTCTCCATGCCATTCAGTCATGATCCAGTGATCTGAATGTTCCATTGTCTTTTCATTGTTTTGAAAATCTCACTGTTCTCCATGCCATCCAGTCATGATCCAATGATCAGAATGTTCCATTGTCTTTTCATTGTTTTGAAAATCCAACTGTTCTCCATGCTATTCAGTCATGATCCAATGATCAGAATGTTCCATTGTCTTTTCATTGTTTTGAAAATTCCACTGTTCTTCATGTCATCCAGTCATGTTTTGACATTTTTGTGAGGTAATGTAAAGGGTTTCTTTTGAAAAAAATTTGCTACATCTATATAAGATACATTGAACTTACCCATTTCTGGAGAATTTGAGATCTTTTCCATGATTTCCAATGTATCGTTACGTCTTTGATCACAGTAAACATGAACGCTATTGAAACCAGCAGTACGTGTGAGTAATCTTTCAATATTCTCGCGATCCGCTTGTGCCCCGTTGCGCGGGCCAACTTTATTCTCAAAGAATATGTTGACAATTACAACACAATATGGATTCTATAAAAATGAGATTAGGAAACTTAATTTCGTTAGCATGTTTGCAAAGCCTTTGCAGAACATCTTTTCAAAACATGTCTCCGCTCGCAGGCCACATTTTGTATTATGTGGTTGTCTATTTTTACTTTCGCTTCTATGACAATGGGAAAGGAGAGCGTTTATGTTCAGTCGAACGTTTAATTTTACTAACCTTAAGACAAAATATTTCACCTCTGTCTCGAGGATTGAGTTTTGGAGCTAGAAAATACAAAACGCCTAATCAGGCATCCTATAAAACACCCTGATATACTACTATATAAGCGCTCTGATCATAATGATTATTGATTATTGATTATTGACATTATTGACACTACCCTGAGGGGCTTTTCAGTGACAAAATTTACAAACACATAAACTTACTGTATTATTACTACATTTAGTCCAAATTAATTTTATTGAAACACATTACTAGCAAACAAGGACAATTAGTCACAAAAACTGCGACAGGGACATCACCAACAACAAAAACCACAACAACAACAGCGATGATGATAACACAACAACAGTAACATCGACAACGCTTATTGATTAACTACTCAAACACAAGTACTTAATAACTATCCAGGAATTGCTGGAGAAGTTTATGTCTTAGTTTTAACTTAAAGTTTGAAATAGAATTACACCGACTTAAGTCAGGGCTAATGTTGTTCCAAAGAGTGACAGTTCGATGATGGAATGTTCTTTGTCCAGTAGCTGTTTTGTACAATGGAACATCCAGACTTCGTACATTTCGTACATTTCTTTTGATGAACAGTTTGTTACAGCATTAAGGCTAGTCTACACAATCAAAAAAGTCTCTGTGATCACAGTAGGAATTTAACTTAGCAAAATTCTACGTTTTGAAGGATTTGTAAGAAATGTTTGTGAGAACTGACTAACGCCTGTATTCTAATAGCCTGCGAATACAGACTCTATTTATATCGCTTAGTATTCTAAAAGCTCACTCACCCTCAACGAGTGGAGGTTCAATCTGAGCTCCCCTTGAGCACAGAATAGGAAGGTATAGCAGAAGTGTATCTCGAGCAAGGAATTTGTCCGCGTTTTTACAAGCAATTCGTCATCAATCACGCCATCCTGGCTAGTACAACCGCCACTTTGTACCTACCAAAACCTGATAAAAACTTCCGGTTGTACTAGCCGGGATGGCGTGAGCGAGTTAAAATTTTCGTGGACGTAAAACAATAAAGGAACCGACTCAAGTTACACTTCTGCTATACCTTCCTATTCTGTGCCTTGAGTGTCAGTGCAGTTTTTGGATAGCTGGAGGGTGAGTAGCCACATAGTAAGGTACGACACTAACCCTCCAGCTATTCAAAAACAGCCGGCATTGAGTCATTGACACTCCGGGGAAGCTCAGACTGAAGCTCATCCTTCAATACTTAGAATTTACCTATGCAAAATTCCTACTGTGATCCCAGAAACTTTTGATAGTGTAAACTAACCTTTATGTACTGCCTTGTAATGTTCATTCTCAGTACTGAAACCCGTCAATTCTGAAACTCATCAACAAGGGTGGCTTGACTACAAAATTTTTGTAGTTCGCTATAACTACAGCTACTTCAAAAATATGTAGTCAGCTACAACTACTGCTACTTTTGAACAAAGTTAGTTCGCTACTGACTACAGCTACTGCTTAAAAAATGTAGCGAACTATTTCGCTATTTCGCTAATCTATATTTTTTAGTTTTACTGTATTTGGAGCATCTACTATTAACTCAGGCTGTAACGTAACCTATAACAAATCGACTTACGAGTAGCAACAGACAACAGTAAACACAAAGCAACATTTTTGTAAGCACTACAGTGTTCAGGAGTGTAAATGGACCATTGAGTATTGATTTTATGCAGACCGTGTCTCAATATCATGCTATTCTATCAAGTTGCTAATAATTTTAAAAAGTAGCGAATAGCGATTCGCCGTTTGAAAAGTAGCCAACTACTTGGCTACTTTTAGGTAAAATGTAGTTCGCTATAAAAGCTACTGTTTTAAAAAAGTAGTCAAAAACCACTGGCTATTTGAAAATTGTAGTTCGCTACAGTAGCGAACTACAACTTCTTCGCTACTACCCACCCTTGCTCATCAATTCCTAGAAAGCTATATACTAACGATATTGTACGCCATCTGCGACGGCGAGATGTGCCCGCGGTCTTCTTGGTGCACTCGTGGTCCCGTCATTGTCAATTTCGTCGAATATTTCAGTGCCAGGAACAGGGGCCAGCCGCCGTGTTCGCTTGTCCTCGTCGCTACTACTGCAGTCACTGTCATGGTCATGCTTAGAACTGATCAGTCTGGGTAAAAAAAACACCACGTTTTCCCGTAACCATAACCACACTCGCCTTAACCATTCGAAAATCATCACTGGGTCTCTATTGGCTCTATAGGAAGAAAAAAGTGTCGTAACCTGGGAACCTCTATGGCGCTTTCCAGTAACACGGGCCGACCATAGATATCTTATATAGACTAGATAGTGCATCTCTTTTAGTAAAATTGAAGCCAAGAATATTCCAGCGGTTACCCCCATTTGAATAGATGGCGGCCATGTTGGAGTTTCCCACTCGCTAATAAACGCTTAAAAAACAACAATAACTTTCATCATTTGAACAGTTTGAAAATGTATTTGGAATAGGTTTAACTTAATGTTTAAGTTCCCTGTTTAAGAAATAGAAAACATACGAGTCTTCTCATTTCATGGGAATATCCGAAGTCTGCAATCACGGCTTCAATTTTTGAATTGCAGAATAATTAGATGGACCACTGTATCTAGTGTATATAAGATGTCTATGGGCCAGAACGGTCAAGTTGTTGAATGAAAACGTTTGGGCTTTGATCTGACCTGAAAATTTAGATAACATTAGAATGAGGTCCATTTTCGCTAAATATTTGAGAAACATCGATCAGATCTTTCCATTGATACAGAGACAAAAATTCGGGTCTGTTAAGGTTACAGGACACCCTTTTTGGCGTTTTGTGGAAAATCGCTACTGCGCGCTCAAAATCAGTCCGATTTTCATCAAATGTTCACCAAATGTTAGCTAGTGCATGCAAAATATGATAAAGTTGTAAAATTGACAAACAATAAAATAATGTAAGAATTATTTGGGAAAATCTTAAGTCGCGGTACCTTTACGCTTTTGAGTTATGTTCCTGCTGGTTTTAAGATATATTTATGAAAATATCGTTTTTATACAGTAAAATAGTTGTTCTAAAAAATTGTGTTCGGAAATTTTTGTTTATTTCGTCATTCCGCTGGTATGGCGATTTCTTTGACGACTGCAATATATTTCTGAATCTTTTGTGTGAATTGCTGCTTATTGTTAAAATATCCAAAATTAGAACAAAGCCGAACACAATTTTGAAACTGACGTCTTTAGCTATGTCCTGTGAAAATTTGAGAAAAATTCGTTAAAACCCGCAGGAGCACAACGCGTTTAAAAATCAGTAATTGCCGTAAAATTCTTCGGGAGGAAATTGAATTTGAATATTACATTTTCAATGTTTTTCTTATTGCAAGCGAAATGTATTTTATTAAATAACTCTACGAATTTTCAACATTTTTCGTCCAAACTTGGTCAGATAGTAGAACTAGTCTAATGCTTTCATGGAAACCAATAAAAAAATTTAGGCAAAATTAACACTCAAAGGTGTTCTGTAACCTTAAATGGAAAGCACTATTTCAATTCCCAGACCTGGGATCTACATTCCCAGACTGCATGGAACTGAGTTTCATAAAAAATGTTTATTTAAGGAATAGTATTAAAGCAAGTACTTTACTTACTACCAGTATTTTCTCCGCCAAACGTTAAAAGGTCCCAATATCGTTTTCCAATCGAGCTGTTCTTACCCGGCTCTGAGCAAAACTAACAGTGTGCATTTGTTCAAGGGTCAAAAAGAAATCAAATTATATGGAATTGAAAATAAAAACAGGAATCGAATGCTCTTGTGTTGACTAAGGGGCGGACCATTAGAAATCCCGGGAGGGGGGGTGAAAATTCCCAAAAAAAAATTCGTGCAAAGAAAAATGCCTGGAAAAAAAATTCGTGCAGCCATTACATCAGAGAAAAAAAATTCGTGCAAGCAAACAGCAAAGTACAAATAGTCATGAAAAAAAATTCGTGCAGAGGTTAAATGCATTAAAAAAAAATCCTGCAGAGACATGAGACTGAAAAAAAAATTCGGCCGCAAAAATTTTATACTCCCCCTCCCGGGATTTCTAATGGTCAGCCCCTAATATTATGGAATCAAAACAAAATGAAATTTAAACTTATTCTTAGATTTAATAAAAATCACGACAGTGAAATTGAAAAAGAAGAATGTCGATTTCATTTTCAAATATAAAGCTCCTGCTTTTATATCTCCTAAAACTTTATCACATTCGTATGATTGATAATGCACGACAACTTTTCTTTCCAGTCATTTATTCAACGCAATTTAAACCTCGTGACGTAATTTATACAGGGTGTAGGCATGTAGCACTGATATTGATCAGAAGAAAATGACCATCTCCCCAAAGACGGAACCCTTCCAAATTCAATATTGCAATGATCAACTAGTAATTATAAATTATAATACAGTAGTTTGATGACCTTGACACCTCTTAGATTTCAATTTGGGGCTGGACACGCTCTGATGGACACACTCTGATGTTAAACCAAATGCTTGCACCACCTACATTAGTAAACTCGGTTCGTCTTCAAACGCCGACGCTGAAAGTTCGTTGACCAAAATAAGTGTATCACAGCAGCTTTTTATGGCGTATTTTACAAATTGAAATCTCAGAGATGTCAAGACCATCAAACTACTGTATTATAATTTATCAGTTGGTCATTGCAATATTGAATTTGGAAGGGTTTCAAATTCAATATTGTATACAAATTTATGTCTCAATTTGTATACAATATTGAATTTGATGTCTCAGTTTGTATACAATATTGAATTATTGTATACAAATTGATGTCTCAAAGATGTCAAGGTCATCAAACTGCTGTATTATAATCATTTGATCATGGCAATGAATAAATATAATTCATTTAGATCGGTTCCGTCTTTTTGGACCCCCCGTAGTGTAATGCGTTATCAAGAAATTTTGAGAAGAATTTAAATGGAAAGTTTTCGTTGTCCTTTATTATTTAATTAATAAAATTTAAATTAGACAACCACGCACGTTTCGAAAATATGCACGTTTGCAATCATTTGTCCAACGCAGTTTAAATCTCATGACGTAATTCTAATGTATTGAGTAAACAAGAAATTTGGCGAAGACTTTAAATGGGAAAGTTTGCGTTGTCCTTTATTTAATAAAATTTAAATTTGACAACCACGCAACGTTTTCGAAAATATACACGTTCGCAATAATTTATCCAACGTAATTTAAATCTCGCTTGACGTAATTCTAGTGTAATGCGTGACAAGAAGTTTCTTGAAGAATATATTAATTGGAATGAGAAAGTTCTCTTTGTCCTTCGACTAAATTTAGATTTCACAACCACACGCGATGTTTTCAAAAATAATCTTTCATTTTTTGTTCAGAAAAGAGTATACAAATAATGAATGTTTCAGAAATTCGTGCAATGGTAAGAATATTTTCATTCGGTGAAAGATGGAATGTTCCATTCAACGAGGCGACAGCCGAGTTGAATGGAACATTCCATCTTTCACCGAATGAAAATATTCTTACCATTTCACGAATAGAAACATTCATCATTTGTTTTATATAATACCAAAATAGACTAATATTAAAAGGTTTACAGTAAGCTCCCGCCATTTTGACGAGTCGTATTTGCATTAAATCCCATTTACTGAGTTTCGAATATCGGGTTAAAATAAACTGCGATCACCGTACGAGAAGCATTTTGACGGATGCGATTTATCGAAAACACAAAGAGTGCAATGGAATAAAACGTATAGTACAATTGCACTCGCAAAGAGTGCAATGGTAACAGTTCACGACAGGTTACAACTAGTGTCGTCGAGATAGACTCGAGTTCTATCTCGCAGGACAACAGTTGCGACAAGCTAAAAACCTGTCGCGACGGTTATTTTTTCAAATGGAAACAGAAAAATGATAGCGTGACAACAGTTTGCGACAATCCGAGGGCGGGACAAAGGTCCTCTTTTTAAAACTGCCGCCAGCTGCTTGAACGATCCCTGGGTACGAAATAAACTTGCCACAGTGCACGCGTCACGTGCGTATTGTATTTTTGCCCAACTACCCAATAGGCAATAACAATATTTTAGGAAAATTAGCACTCCGTGACTGAAACAATTGGGTGATTTAAAAATTGCTATTGCTGGATTTGGCAAGAATACAATACATACTTGACAATGAAGGACTATATTTTTGCATAAACGTTGACTAAAGGCCTGTTTAAACGGATCCAACATTGTTGGACCAACATCATCCAACAATGTTACTATACTAGATATGACTGCTTCTCTTTCAAATCTTTTTGGTTAGATAAGCTTTACTCAAACCCTAAACCTAGTCTTCACAAAATATTTGAGAAAGAAGCCGTTTGAGCCATTATTTCAACAATGTTGGATGATGTTGGCCCAACAATGTTGGATCCGTTTAAACAGGGCTTAACATGACAATGAGTTATATCGCTATTCTAATGAGTTTCCAAACCAACTTTTCTATGGTTAATACCCTGTACCCACCTACCTAATATAACTGGTCCAAACCACATACAGGGGGTGTATCAAAAAACCTGCGAACTCTTTGAAATACAATGTTTTTAGAATTTGCATGATTCAGAACTAATTGATCTCAAGCGTGCGTAAACACGATAGTTGACCTTTTGCAGTAGAACTGATAATTAGTTTTCTTTTTCTGCATTACAAATAACTTTGTGTTATTCTAATTTCTACCCGAATCGGTTAATTAGAATGTATTTTCAAATCCCAGGAGTAAAATAAGTAGCACAGACATTGAAATGCTAGTAAGCAGCAGAATTATGCAAATTATAGTGTTTGCAGATTTTTTTATACACCCTGTATATAGAAAAACAATGGTTGACCTTGATTGGCTGAGTGTTTCTTTGAGCCACACCACTTGTGCAAACTTCGTTATCATTGGCAAACAAACTGAAAGATTTACATCGGCAAAAAGAAAGCACGTGTTTTTATTGGTTAATATGTACACTACAGATATTGGAATATAATTATCATTTACATTACACTGTAGAATAATCAAACGCGTCCGATGACATCATGGTAATGATGATATAAATGTCATTTTATTTACAAACTTCTTAACAACTCTTCATGATACGGAGCCCAAAAACAACACAAAGCATGTCAAAACAACAACATAATTTTCAAACATTTAACAGCCATTTAACAATTATAACACGGCGCTATTTATTTATCAAATGCTATTAGACTATTAGAATATTCCCCTGGGTTGTATAATGAATATTGATGAAGTCATATGAGTTGGCGAAATTCGTCAGTCTTTGTTTCGATTCGCCCGACCACGAAACGGAAGTTTTGGCCAACAAAGGACAGTATTGTCACGATACGCACAATGTATATATTGAAATTAACCAAATTCTAATCTTTCACATGTTTTTGCCAAGCGAGTGTCATATGTCTCAGCGGTCCCTGGGTGGCGGTCATTTGACACTGAATGTCAAAAGCCTATCCTTATATCGGGTAAAGTATTTATAATTTAGTGACTTTGGCCCTTTAAAAAGGAGACATATAAAGTCCTACGATAGTTGGCTGCCGGTATTGACGTTACAGAGTCATACAGAATAGCCAATAGGGCAATATGGAGAGGCAACCTACATGAATAATTACTGATTTTGAGTTAGACAAGCGCGCGACGTATAATATTGTATAAATACAGCATTAATTCAGGTGTCTGGCCGGCAGAATGAGCGAAATGTGGCGCGATGAAGTTCACGAGAAAGACAGAAAAGAAAAGCTTGCTACGTATCTGTTTGCCATGAAAGAAGATTTATCGGAATGGATCGCTGGACTTATGAATATTACGGTGAATGCTGATACATTTATGACTTTGTTAGATAACGGGGTTCATTTATGTCGCCTTGCCAATATGATTCAAAAAGCGGCAGAAAAGTACTTGATCGAGAGCCCAGATTCTACTCTTAAGTTGCCCAGATTTGTACCGACTTATAAAGAACGCGGAGCCACGCATGGCTCGTTTGTGAGTCGTGATAATGTGGCGAACTTTATTCGTTGGTCTCGAGAATTGGGCATACAAGATGTGATAATTTTCGAGTCTGAGGATTTAGTCTTACATAAATTTCAAAAACCTGTGATTTTGACTCTACTTGATGTCGCTAGAAGAGCATCGAAGTTTGATATAGAACCGCCTGATCTGGTTATTATGGAGGAACAAATTGACGAGGAGATTGCCCTCGAACAACAGGCTATCGCTCTCGAACAAGCATGCCAGCAAGCTGTATCGATGTCTGAAGTTGAAGTACATATAAATAATGATAATACGAAGCCCGTTGTTTTGAAACCTAAGAAGAAGTGTGCTCCTAAGAAGGTCAAAAATTTCATCCCAAAAAATCTGGACACGTTGGTAAGTTATAAACCTTCAAATTTTCATTGGATTCATGACTGTTGTCTTCCCATTTTTGGTACCGCGGTAAACAAACAGTCAAGAGGTTGGCTGAAGAATCTAGCTGGCTGAAAAATATAAATACGAGTGTCTGTAAGTTAGAAACGGCGATAGTACTTTTTATATTTTTCTAGTAGCGAGATCCTCGGCAAAGCTCTTGAACATACAGTACTTCATTAAACTCAGTTATATGTACACTGAAATTTCATGTTATGGATTTAACACTCCTGTCTGTGAACATAGGATTTTGGAATGGCATGTTTAATATTATTACTGGCAAGAAATTGAAAATATTGAGGGTTACAAGTACGATATTATGACATTTTTCGTGTTAGAGCTCAAATTATCAATTAGAGAAAATATCTGTAATAAATTATTACACCAGAAATGTTCCTTTTGTCTTGTATTCGATAATATGGGATATCTTGTGTTTCCCATCCGGAAAAACAGCGAATATCAAAAGCATTTTATTACTTTCCTTTCCTTTCGAAGGAACTGAATGTCAGCTCAAAATATTGAGCAAAGTTTTAGATTTGCTTTAAATAATGAAAACCTAGTCCCATGACTTGGCCAGTATTGTATTACTAGATCGACCATTAAATTAACGATCTAGAATTTACTATGTATTAAATGACTAATGGGAAAAGGAAGGAACTGTCATTTTATAAACCCCTGGTTTTAAATCTTCAAAATAAGAAACAGAAACTTAAAAAAATATATCACTTTTCATCAGGAATGTTTGCTATAGGTCTAGAACAGTGTTCATTTTTTTTAACTTTTTTTTTTTGAAATTCGAGTCGTGTTGTAATTATATAGGAATTATTCGATGTACGTGTTGCGAGCAACTATATCGGCCAACGGGAGAACAGCTGTTTAAAACGAGCTATATTGTTGTCTGTTGTATTGTGTGCTTCATTTCCGTGCGTTTCCCTGTGCTTATCGTTATTTCTATTGAAAATATCGCACTACATTGTCACTTTGTGTTGGGAACAAGTCTTCTACGCGTAGCTTATTTTTGGAAGTATATTTTCGCTGCGGTTTTCTGTGAGCTGGCTTTATTATAAATACTTTATAGGATGCCTATTCTATAGACTTTACATGAAAGATGTCTTGAATAAGTTATGCGTAAATTGCATTCGATTGTATGTATATATTAATAATTTTCCTCGAGCTATTGTATGGTTAGAAGCGAAGCTTTGTTCACTGCCATTCATTGAGCGCATTTAGTTTATGAGTTAAAAATCCCCAACAGCGGTAAAACAAGAACGACTACAGTTTTTGATTAGTTAGAGCTAAGTTTAAGATAATAATTTCCGCAGGTGGTTTCAAATTCATTAACATGTCTGGCTCGAAAATAAACGATTTGTATGTTGGCTGTCTGTTCGAAATCTAAATTTAAACCAATTGTTGCAATTTTAAGCTAGCTATACAGCTACGTTTGTTGGCCAAGAGTTTGACCCAAATTCTAGTTACTCGTAGGTGGTTTAAAACATCGGAATTTAGCAATTTAAGATGATGTAGATTTGGGAATGATGTTGCCTGTTGGGTTCCGCGTCATATGATATTGATCTCAAGAGTAATGCCTTTCATGCACCTGTAGCCGTCACCCGACGTTCTATCATTCCAGCTTAAAAACGCAGTTGTCTGTTCATAATTTTACCTCAGTTGCATGCTGTAAAGGTGTTTCCAGTTTGAAAACAAACTTGTGCTTCAAACAAACTTGGACGCATGATGCAACAGCTTGATAAATATAAGCAGACCTTCGACGTTCGTCTGGCTAGTATAAATCTCAAGAGCCAAGGCTCATAATCTCATATCATCCTGGGAAAATTCCCAGGATTAATTGCCAAGGAAGTAAGCGATTTCCTGCATGGCTTTGCTGTTTGAGGAGGAGAATTTTTGAGCTTATTTACTTAACAGAAATCAAATTCCAATCTTCTGAGCAAATTTCTTACAGAAGATTAGCTGGTTTACCCTATCGAAGTTTCTGTGATCACAGTAGGAATTTTGCATAGGTAAATTCTACGTTTTGAAGGATTTGTAAGAAATGTTTGAAGGAACTGGTCAACGCAGTGTTAAACAATAAGTCTTTTCCCTCAAAACATTCTTACAAATCATTCAAAACATAAAATTTACCTACACAAAATTCCTACTTTAATAGTGTGAACTAGCCTAAAGGCTTAACTAATATAAATCTCGAGTCATTAAAATTTTTTCAAGCATCAGACTTGGCGCCCAGACGTGGGAATTTAAAAGAGCTAAACAGATACACAGAAATATTTTCATTTCAATTTATTTATCAGCCGCTAATCACGTAATCTTTTAAACATATAGTTTTCAATGAAGAAATGTCTGGGCCACTTTCCCCGAAAAACGTTATTTCTTTTGTCGGTTAATAAAATGAAATTGATAGGTCTAACAGATGTCCTATTGCCGAGTGCAATCAGTGAACTGATAAATGATGCATGGCGACAAAAAAGCAATTCAGAACACCCCCTCCCCTCCCCCGCTTGTGAAGTCCAGCACCACCCTAAAAAAATCTGCTTGACCATTCATTTTCTTCTTTTAGCAGAACTTCTACTGTTAGCGCGTGTCTATTTCTTGAAACGATTTAATTGATTTGTGAGCTCACGAGAAAACACTCAGAACACTTTAGTTAAATATCATGGTTAACTATATAAACATGTCGAGGTTGTTATACAGCCATATTTTGAAATATGCTGTACTTGAACAAGCAAATTTACTGTACTGTGCTACAGCAACTGTCCAGTCGATATAAATTTTATAAACAAAAGATATGTAAAACGTAACAGAACGACGAATATGCAGATTCGGCCATGTAAAATAATGATAATGTTGGGATAGTAGCGTTGCAGACTGCAGAGGAGAGTGGGCAGTAAGGCTCCCTCGTGCACCGTGAAGCGGCTAGATTTGAAAAGATATAAGGCTAGATCTGCCCCTGATTGAGAATGAATAATTCTTATGTGAGTTCTCCTTCATATATTAAACATTGTTCCCTTCCCTCTTTTACTCATTTTCCCTATTGAACGATTCTTCTTACTTTCCGTCCAAGGTAAAAGAAGTTGTCCAACAGTGTACTTGTGAAGATTCGTTTCCTGTCGAAAAAATTGCGGACGGAAAATATAAGATCGGGGAGAACAGAGTGCTCATTTTCGTTCGAGTCATGAGAAATCATGTTATGGTCCGTGTCGGTGGGGGCTGGGACACTTTGGAAAATTACATTCAAAAACACGACCCTTGCAGAACTGGAGGTAGCTGTAACAGCTGTTTTAAAATCTCAATCGTTTCTTAAATTCTTACTTCAAATTCCTCCATATCGGACGTAATAAAATCGTCTCTAGTTTAGTATATATATATATATATATATATATATATATATATATATATATATATATATATATATATATATATATATATATATATATATAT